TTGTTCTGCGCAGCACAAGCAAATTTAATAACATGCTTGGGCTGTGTTTGCTTTTAACTTGTCTCTGGTGTCTCCATAAGTGGGACACCAGAGGAAAAAGGGCATAGGGGATCCAGTGTTTGTATGTCAGGAATGTATTATGTGTAGGTGGTGCAGTGTGTGTGTAGGAAATCTAGTGTGTAAAGGACCCAGAGTGTATATTTTATGTTTGGACGCATTGTATGTGTGAGGGGCACATATGTGTTCGGTGTATGTGTGAAGGGTGCAGCATGTGTGTGAGGGGTGCAGTGTGTGTGTGTAATAGGGGTGCTTTGTGTGTAAGAGGGGTGCTGTGTGTGTATGAGGGTCCTGTGTGTCTGAGGGTGCTGTGTGTATGAGTGTGCTGGGTGTGTATGAGGTTGATGTGTGTGTCTGAGGGTGCTGTGTGTGTATGAGAGTGCTGTGTGAGTGAGGGTGCTGTGTGTGTCTGAGGGTGCTGTGTGTGTATGAGGGTGTTGTGTGAGTATGAGGGTGCTGTGTGTATGAGGGTGCTGTTTGTGTATGAGAGTGCTGTGTGAGTGAGGGTGCTGTGTGTGTCTGAGGGTGCTGTGTGTGTATGAGGGTGCTGTGTGTGTGTGTAAGGGGGTGCTAGGAGTTTCTGGGTGTACTGTGAGTGAGTGTCTATTTAAATATGTCTTTTATTTTTATTAAAAAAGCCAGGTTTCCATGGAGGGGGGAGTCATGCTGCCTTCCCTGGTGGTCTCAGTGGTGAGAGTGAACCACTGGGCTAGAGTTCACTGTCGTGAGATCTGAGCATTGCCTTGGTAACCATGGCAACGCTCAGAATCCCGCAAGAGGAACCCGGCGGAGCTGCTGGCCAGAGCTCCCCGGGTCCTCTCCTGCATCCCTCACTTCCCAGTCGCTTGATTATTGATCTCCCCACCGGCCCGTGGAGGCACACAGCAGCGCCAGCGCTTGGATAGCGCCGGCTCTGCATGGGCCGACAGGGGAGATCCTGTGATCTCCCCTGCCGGCCTCGGCCCACAGCCCACCAGGAATTTGCCCAGTATGCCCGATGGCCAGTCCGGGTCTGAGTTTCACTGTTCCAAGGTTATAAATGAGAGAAATTTCTACAAACCTGTAGAGCAGGAGTTTGGGACTCCAGACATTGTGAACTATATCTCCTCTGATGCTTTGCTAGCATTATGACTGTGAGAGCAATATGAGAGAGTGTAAAATATTGTCTACCCCTGGTATAGAGTAACGCCATTGACTCCCCAAGGGATTCTATGACTAACTTAGTTAGTAGACACCTATTTATTCTATATAGGAAATCTATACTTTACATTTTTGTGTTTGCTGTATCAGTGTGATAAAAGTTAATTATACTTAATATCGGATGCTTATGGAGAATTTCGGTTCTCTATCCAATGTGCGGTTCAATTAATTTCCCAGTCTTTTGTATAGTACATAATGGGTAAAATCTGGTGAGGAGAGAAGATATGTATACAGGAAGATAAAATATGGGTTGTTTCAAGTGCTCAAACTAGGCGATAAGTCTAAAGAAAACAGAGTGGTTGTGGTGTTACGGAAGGTGCAATAAAGTGTTTCAGTTGACAGTAACAAGAGTGATCCATGAAGGAAGGACTCAGTTTATCAAGCAATGCTGTGAATGCAAGAAGAGTAATCTCCTTTAGAAAGTGATGCATGTCAGTATTGGGCAAATGCTGCTGGGAAGGCACGAAGGCACAGGTCTAGCCTGATGGAAACTTGTGATACCCACCACCAGTACAAACAATGTTCTCCAATAGTGTAGTGCAGCTGTGTGGGCATATAGGATTGACATTTGGAAGGCGATTGAAAGCTATTGGAGTGACATGAAAGGAACAGAGAAGTCATTTTCAAGGTGCTTTAATTTGTTGCTTGGGTATAGGAGCTCAACAGGAAAAATGTTTAAACAAACTTTTGCACTGATTAACACACGTGTGTGGCTGGCACATACTGGCTTGCATAGTATAGGTCAGGTTAGTGCTTATAAACCAGTGACTAACATTTACTCGACCAGGGCTGTATCCATTCAATTCCTGTTTTCTCAGTCCTGAAAGGTGTGACTAGACATATGACTCATCGATCATTTAGTGCTGAACACAACTGGTTTTGATTATTTTAAAGATATTTTATCTTTTCTCAAATGTCTCAAAATCTTAACTCTTGGAGAACCAAACAAGAAGGACGGTACACAATTTATCCGCAATAAACAAATGGTTCTGTTGGTTGTGTTCTACACCTTCACTTGAATTTAAATAGAGTTCTAGTAAGCAACGTGTGTAATATAATGTGTATCATAAAATATTATTTGAATATTAAGAAGCTAGTTCTAGACTTCTAAAGTAGAAAATCAAGCAGTCTAGAGAGATTTTAGTTAATTTCAGCATAACCATAACATACCCAGATGTTTTTTTTTCTGTTTTCTGAGGTGGGAAAGTGGTGACTCTGACACTTCTTCTTCACACCTACATGTCTGTTCAATCTTCCTTTTGCTGTCATTAACATCCTCCTCAAATGTGTGCCGTAAACATGAGTTCCCTGTGTCAATAGATGGTTCTGGGGACTTTGATGTAATTTCCACCAATGTGTTCAAAGGGTATGTTGAAGTTAGCTTCTTATTCGCAGGCTGAAGTTAGCTTCTTATTTGGTCAGCTTCTTATTCAATGATAGAAGATAGCTTCTTATTCATCTCTTCTTATTCATTTAACTTTTTTATTCATTCAAAATGTATGTAAATATTATGAACTGTGCAATATAAATATTACATGAGTAATACAGTATTCATTTGCAAGCCATATTTCTACACATTTCTGATATAATAAATAAGACAAATAAGAAGCTAACTTACATCATTCACAGGGTTGCCATCAGAAATATAGGATCCCAGTGGCAAAACTAACGAGGTCGCCGCTGTGACTGGGCCCGTCACGCCAGGGGGCCCGGTCGCCCTGCGGATCATTGCAACTGCGGTGCCCGCGGGCTCTAACCACCAGGGCCACCTTGAAGGGGTCGATCGGGTGGCCCATGCTGTTAGGGCCACCCGATGACATCAGAGCTGGGAGGAAGTGACTGCCCTGGTCGCTCTTCCTAGCTTACACCGGGAGCCGCGCAGGAGGAGGAAGGAGTGGAGGGAGTCAGAGTGGGAACTCTGACTTCCATCAGGCTGAGCCACTGGACCCCAGGGAAAGTCACCTTCCTGCATCTAAAAGGTAGGAAACAGGAGGGTGACTAAACCATTTTGTATGTGTGTGTATGAATGTTTCTCTATATCTGTGTCTGTCTGTATGTGTGTGTGTCTGTCTGTCTGTGTGTGTCTGTGTGAGTGTGTTTGTTTATATGTGTCTGTATTTATGTGTGTGTTTGTATGTATATATGTGTGTATGTCTGTCTGTGTGTCTGTGTGTGTGCGTATGTGTAAACTTGTTTGAGCAGGATCCTCGTCTACCTATTGTTCCTGTGTCACTGTGTAATTGTCTCATGTATTGTAAATTTCCTTCCCTTTCACAATATTGTAAAGCGCTGCGGAATTAGTTGGCGCTATATAAATACCGAAAATATTAGTAATAATGTGTTTTTGTATGTGTGTGTGTATATATGTATGTGTTTGTCTGTATGTATGTATGTGTGTGTATTTGTATGTATGTATGTGTCGGTGTCTGTTTGTATGTATGTGCATGTATGTATGTGTTTATGTGTGTGTCTCTGTATATGTGTGTGTGTCTGCATGTGTATCTGTTTGTCTGCATGTGTGGAGGGGAATGTATGGGGGGGGCCCTAGGGCAATTTTTGCACCGGGCCCGGTGGTTTCTAGTTACGCCTCTGTAGGATCCCCTTACAGAATCACTGTCTAGGCCCCCCAGCCACACTCTCCCAGTCTTATGTTACACAAGTTCCCAAGCATCCTCACAGAGACACACATATCCCCATACATGCATACACCAATGCACATTCCCAGGAACAAACTGACATAGATATGCATCTCACAGACGCACACATGTATTGCCATTCACACACATATACCCACTGAGATATGCACCGCCACTCACACACACACAGATACTCTTTGCATTCCCAGACACACAGGTGCACTCACTCCATAAACTTTCATAAATGGCTTGGTGTGCCACCTTATTTCAATGTTGAAGGCAGTTAATTGAAGGAAAACAATTGAACATAAGCATAACATAACCAGTGAGTGTGGGTTAGTGAGAAATCTCCACATTCTGGTATCCTTAGTTACAAGTTCACAACCACTAAGTATGCAGCTACCATTACTCAGCCACCACTACAACACTAGGAATCACAGAAATAATAAGAACTTTTGAGAGGGGCTTTGTATTTATAACATAAATGAGTGAGGACACATGGTATGTTAAATGGATGTACTGGCAGAATGTTGCAAGTCATCGATATGATTTAGCATTAGGGCACTCGAAAAAAAATGATAATGATAATTACAATAATGATTTTGAAAAAAAAAAAAAAAAAATACAAACAGAAAAAACAAAACAGCACTTGCCAAAGTAATTGTCGTTTATTCCAGGTACTGATGAAAGCCATAAGATGCTGATACTGTAACAAACAGCATTTTATAGTTGTGGATATAATTGGAAAGGCTTCTGTCAGAGAAGCACTATGGTGGGATATTATATCTTGAGTTCTTTACAGCAGTTGTCAACATTCCAAGGATGCTCTCACTTTCAAAGCTTTTCTCTTTAAAATATCGCCTTTTTGGCAGATAATGTAGTATCATTAGCCTGTGTGTGGGTGCGAGGAGCATTTAAAGACATGCAGGGTGAGCAGGCAGGCACTTGCTAAAAGCAAGATTAGTGACAATGACAGGAATGACATGTTTCCGGAAGAATTAGACAAGGCTGACAAGGAGCTGCGGGTGCAGGGAGCCGAAACCACCAGCAGGGGGCGTCGGGGAGACGGAAGAGATTTTGTGCCTAGAAGAAGGAAGTGCAGAGAGAAAAATAAAAGGCAGGAAGAGATCTGAGGAGAGTACGAAACATATAAAGTTATAAAGGGTAACCAGAGGGAGAGTTCCGCAGACATGTCAGCCTGAGGAGGTCCCAGCACTAAACAACCATGTATCTCCTACTGACACTTCTCCTGGGTGGTAAGACTGCCTTACACAATTATCCAAGCCTCTATTTGTGTGTGTGTTTGTGTTTTGTACATTAGACACCCTATTTTGGCCCTGTATGTGTAAGAGTATGTGAGTCATACTTGTGCAGTGTCTCACTTTGTTGTATTTATAGCACAGTCTAACAACCCATGACAGGTTAACAAGATATGTGATCCCCCTTAACAACCTGCTACTCCACACATGTGGGACATAACTATTTATTAATATTATTATTATTATCATTATTATTATCATTATGAAGTAACCTATACCTACTGCTAACATACACTCTCCTGCTTCTCTTTCCTTGCAGTCAAGCTGATATTCACAAAGGGGACTTCCAGCTATGGTGAGTTTTTGTTCTCAAAATAACAAATTTTAAGTCACTTTGGTATTTTTTATTTTTAACATTATTTACTCCTTTGTGAAATAGATATGGATTGTTGTCCAAACGATAGATAACCTCCACTTTTGGGGAAAAATAAATGTGTGTGTATATATATATATATATATATATATATATATACAGAGAATTTACCTCTGTTAGTCCAGTGATGTCCTATTTATAGTTAAATTCCCCCTCTTATAATATTGTTAAGCGCTACGGAATCTGTTGGCGCTATATAAATAGCGATAATAATAATGTAAAATAGATTAAATTCGAATCTTGTGATACCTTTTTTATTGGACTAACATAATTTTTAATGACAAGCTTTCGGGAGAACCTCCCTTTCTCAAGTCTAAAGCGTTTCTGAGCAAGACGACACATAGAATTCAAAGTTGAGTTGTGATACAGGGGTTAAAGCGACATGAGTGCAGATAAGACACATGTTTGATAGAAAATAGACACCATTCTCCCAGAAGGTCTTGTGTGAGGATCACAGAGTGAGGGGAGAAAAAAAACAAAACAAGCAAACAGTGTAGAAGATTATGCTAGAAGGGGAGAGTAAAAAAAGTGAATTACTGACGAGGACAGATTTATTTTGTAAGTTACCAGAATAAAAGAATCACTTTGAACAAAGACCTGTGAGTGCACCTGCAAGTTTTTTGAATATATATATATATATATATATTTATTTATTTTTTCCATGCAGATTATATTTTGTTGATTTTGTTTTCTCAGAACCATTGTGCCTTCCTGGATATTTTCTTTGTGGGTCAGGGTGTCTCCCCCTATCCTCTCGCTGTGATGGCACCATTGACTGTAGGGATCAGTCTGATGAGCTTAGATGCCATCCACAATGCAATGTCAATTTAAGGGACTTCTATGGTGTATTTGCTCCCCCTGGGTATCCTGGATCTTCACCCACTCAGCTACCCATCTACTGTCGCTGGACAATTGATACAGGAGATGGTCGTGGCCTTTCACTCCAGTTTTCTTCACTCCAACTTTCTGGGACAGATGAACTTGTAGTTTATGAAGAAATCTTGAGTGATTCTCCCCATCTTCTCCGTGCTCTGGACAGGCAGAGCAATGGCAAAACAGTCACTGTGGAGTCTGTGAGTGGAAGGGTTATTGTTTTTTATTACTACAGCTCCAGCAACCCTGCCATCTCAAGATTTTACCCCACTGTTACCCAGCGCACTGAGATTAGGTTTCCTGGCTCTGATTATCCTGTTTCTTATGAGCCCCTAGAACAAGCCTATGGCCCACATTTGCCTGACAGGACTGGCTCTACTCGTTCTCGCTTTGCTGCCTCTAACTTTCATAGTGTCCGGCTCTCACCATTTCGTCCCAGAGGCTTCAATGCCACTTACCGTGTGCGGGCTTATTGTCTTCCTTGGGACCACCCATGTGGCTCTAGTCCAGGACTTCTATGGGATGATACAGTGGAGGAAGGTGGTGGCTGCTTCACAGATGCACAACGTTGTGATGGAGTCTGGGATTGTGCCAATGGTCGTGACGAGATAAATTGTACAGGCTGTGCATATGGACACTTCCCATGTGCCCTAAGTCAGGCCTGTTACCCCCTTAATGAAAGATGTAATTACCAAACCTCATGTCAGGATGGGACAGATGAGAAGGGCTGCCGTGGGTGTCAGCCTGGAGGCTTCCACTGTGACCTGGAGCACTGTATATATGAAGCATGGGTATGTGATGGACAAGCAGACTGCAGAGATGGCACTGATGAGAAAAACTGTGGGTACACCTTGCCTCGGAAGGTCATAGCAGCAGCTGTCATTGGAAGCTTGATTTGTGCCACACTCCTGGTGGTAGCTCTTGGATGTACATGCAGGCTATATACAACACGGGCACGTGAATATAGGTGGGTAACAGTGTGAGAATTTGAAGGAATTTATGACCAAAATGGACAGTCTACCTAATGCAAATGTTACTCTTTCTCTCTCTGTAGCATCTTTGCACCACTATCCAGAAGTGACGCAGAACTCATTCAGCAGCAGGCCCCACCTTCTTATGGGCAGTTAATAGCCCAAGGAACTATACCACCTGTAGATGACTTCCCCACTGAGAGCACCACTGATGTGAGTATTTGGGCTCTTCAGTCTTTTCTACACGTATGATTATACCAGTGAAATAAGTATCTATAGTATCTTTGTTCATGTCTGGATTTATTCATCCAGTCGTCTTTGTTTCTTTTCAAAAGGGAGTTCTGGCCACTAAAAGAATTACTACAATCCAAAACTAATAGAATTAGAATTAATAGAAACATAAAAATGAATTAGTTTAGCATCCAGTTGTGAATTTGAAGAGTAATAACACCCCCTCCCCTTTTTTCATGTTCAGTACAGTATTTACATGAGAAAGACTTGTGAACACTTGAATCAACATCCCCCGCTGGATATTAGTCAGTTCATGTTTACAAAACTTGTTTAACTAAAAAGAACAAAAAAAAAAAACTCTCTATAGAGATTGATGCATATCCTTAATATAAACAGTATTTATTGGTGTTGGGATTCTCTGCTGGCCTGCAATCTATGTCAAGGTTAGGTTATCTGTGTTTTGAGAAACAGATCCTCTCACCCCTTGATCTGGTGTGCCAAGAGTTGAAGGAAAGTAAACTAATTTACAATATTATGTAATTAGCCTTACAGACATGTAAATAACAGATGTTTGGTGTGAACACAATATAGAGACAACGTTGTGTGAGCCCATCATTTGGCTTTCTTGTGATTTCAGTAGAAAGGCTGAGCATAAGTAGTAGTTGTTATTTCGAGTGGTGGTATACAAGCTGTCAGAATGTGTTTTAAAGGAAAATGTAAATACCGCAAACATTTATATGCAGTAATGGTTTTTAATGCTTTATTTTTAGGGAACAGGGCAATACA